GCTGTTCGTTAATTTGCCTTCTCCGCCAAGACAGAGCTGTGCAGAAGGTACCAAAAAGCTTCAGAGCTTGTTTACCGGGCCCAAAAAGTTCTTCGCCACACAGCTTGTTGAGTTTGGCTGGGCAGCCAAGGAACGCACGCGGCAGAACCGAGACCTCAGCGCCGGAGTCCACTTTGAAGATAAGAGGGTGCCCGTCGACGTGCACTTAAATGTAGCGTTCGTTCTGAGCCACTGCCACGACGGCGTGTAGCTCCACAGATCCGAGAGGCTTCTTCAAGCGACACACCAACGAGAAGTGGCCTCGCTTCTTGCGGTGACTACAAAGTGCTTTGGCAGCTGGGCAGTCCAACCGTCGGTGAAACTCGTGACCGCATAATTGGAAATGCCCGCTGTGGCTGCTTCTCGAAGCTTTCAAGGCCTCACCGCCGTGGCTCTTCTTCCCAGAGTCCTGCTTGTCATGCCATCCACTTGGACACTGTGCTGGCTTATGAGAAGTAGCCGAGTCGACGTGAGATGCCGAAGTTGTTCGCTCAGCGGCGAAAGTAAGGCATTCCTTTTGGCGCTCCGCGTCTTCGTGTTGACGGGCTTGCATGAGTGCATCGATCAAGGAGAGGCTTGGGGTTTGGCTCAGTTTGCCTGAGAGACGAGAGTCCAGCAAACCCACAAAGAAACGGTCACGAACAAAGCGCTCTTTAACAGCTGGCGACAGATAATTGCACTTTTGTACCATGTTTTGCAGGGCCATGAAAAAACTGTCGACTGTCTCGCCGTGCTGTTGCATCCGCTTGTTTACTGGATGCACGAAGTAGCTGGTGAGCCGCCGGGTGACTTCCGTTTCCGACTTTTAAGCGTCTTCATCAGACATGGGCGAACTGAGGACGACGCGTGCTTGGGGACCCATGCAGTAGAGGAGCGTCCTAACCCGCATCTCATCCGGTGCTGCGAGCATGTCAGTAGCGAAGGCGTAGTCCTCGAACTGTTGTAGCCAGGGAAGCCACTTGTCTTCATCGTCGAAGGGAAACGGAGGCAGGCTTCGGAGACTGGCTGGAGCCAAGGCAGGAACAGGAAGACGGGTGGCCGCGGGGGTAAGACCAGGAACAGTGGTGTACGTACTGGTGGGAACGCGAGTATAATTGTTACCCATGTCATCATTGTTATCCGTGACGGAAGACAGGAACCAAAGATCCCACTTCTGACACCCTGTAATGGGCGCGTTTGAGCAGAGGCAGCCAGGGACGCAAGCCGAAGCACGAGGGCTGCAGTAACGAGACATGCGCTCCGCATTCCCAACACAAGTGACCCCATTTATTCGTACACCATTTTTTATGTACACAATCCCATAGAGGGCGCCGCAGACCCCACTTAGCTGCAGTGATTATTAAAATCACGCGCCCTCTACAGAAGTCACGGAATCTGAAAGGTGTGGCATGGAGCATTGTTTGCAGCTGATATCGTTGTCGAGCGGGTCTCCTTCCGCGTCCGCGATGCCGTCTGTGCATGGGCTCTGGGGAACAAATGGGCAATTCAAGATCTTCCCCTTAAAAACGCTTTCTCCGAAAGAGGGTTGTTTGGCAGAGTGTAGGGCTGTACCATAGGGACGATGTCTTCCCCAAGCTACAGTGCCAAGAGGTGTACTTTCGAGGTGGTGAGTCGCAGAGCTCCCATCTGCAGTAGAGTCTGGGTCGACAGGTATGGGGTCAGATACATGAAAAAGTTGCCGAAATACATATGTTATCTTGGCACACTGTTATGGCCAATATTATTGTGTGACGCTTTTGAAATTGTGTCAGGCTTTGGCAGGACTGCCGAGGTGGTCGATGGCCACCAGTCATTTCCGGTGCTTTGGCCAGGCATTGGGGGTGCCGAGAGTGTTAACCGTTTTGATGCACAGGATGGCATTACCCTGAAATATACGAAATTCTGGTAGTTCTATTGCAGCCACTGGTGGTAATGCGGAAATCGAAGATCCAAAATTTCACAAGGCAAAACGGCCTACCTCCTGAGCAAGCTAGGACGTCGCCCGCATGACATCAGTGGGTAGGTCAGGTGAGGAGCCGGAGGAATGGGGAGCGATGGCTGAGAGGATAGCAGGGGTCCGGTACTCACGCTGGTGGTTGAGACCCTGCAGTTTGAAGACTCCAGGATCTGAAGTTGCTGGCCCAAGCGCCCCGCTTCGCTGATGATTTTAGCAGCCACGTTGTTTCAGCCACCTGGAGAACCCTTGTCGGCGGCCGTAGAATATGCTGTCGTCACAGGGATCAGCGCGGGATGTCAATAATCAGTAAAGCGTGGTGAAAGTACCGTTCAGTTACCGAGGAGGCTTGGACGCCTTTCTCGAACTGGGCCTCTAGCCCGGTTATTAAAGCGGGCGACAAGGATGCTTGGATGCCCTTCTGGTCGAACGGAGGTGACTGTGTCACGAGGTTCATGCCATTGGTAGCATTGACCGCATTCCCACAGAAGAGGAGCCCATGCGATGTCTTGGGGCGATGTGGTATCGCGGCACTGGGGAAGCCAAGTTGAGCCGTCTAGGAGGCCTGCACGCCTTCCCCAGATGGTGCTCGTAGCGACGGTAGGTAAACGATTGACAAGGAGGTGGTTGACGAGGTTGATGGTTGCCGGTTTTGTAAAGCAACAAAAAAAGGAAATTGCCTGCCACTTTTCAGGCAGGCCAAGATCAACATCCGTGCAAAAGACAGAAAGACATGAGAAATAATCGAAATCTTTAATATTATACAATACGGGCCTGATAAGTACATCAGTGAAGCTTAGTTACACCTATACAAGAAATAGATTGAATTTCTTGTTTGTTTTTTTGAGCAATATTTGGTTATAATTGATGGTACACATGCACTTTGTTATTGTGGGGAAGAGGCATCATCCAAATGGAAGTCTGTGCTCATTCTGCCCAATATTTCCTTTTGTCTCTTGTAAGTAGGGGCAATTTTATGTTTTCTATGTCGAACCAACTAGCCCCACCGTAGGCTTCTTTCTACTCATCTTTATTGGGTTCTCTCACTTTCTGTCGGGGGCTTATGGTATTAGCTGCGGAGTGTGTGTAGATTTATCCGCTATATGTATGGTTGGTCGATGCCTTGATTCTGCAGTACCTGCACAACTGCTGATTTGTTGACTGAATCAAATACCTTCTCGCGATATATGGAGGTTATATATATGGGACGTTAAACCACTACCATTATTATTAGTACTACCACTTCATTCCACAAACACAGCCGCGAGCGCAGATCGCACTGTGACTGGATGAAGCGTGCACAAGAAAATTGCTTAACCAGTGTCACAACAACAACATAAAGTATTGTCAGCTTTTAGGCAGTCAATCTGAACTATTTTTAGTTGACAGTGATATCAATGACATGCTGATGCTGATATAACCAAGTGCGTCCATGTGCTCAGATTCTGAATGGAACGGGTAGTTCTATCCTTACAGCGACCCACATGGTCTTGTTGTTTTAAGCTGTTTTTGTCATCTGTGCTAGGCTCATACTCAATGCAGGCTATAGGCCAAGTAGTGGGTGAATGTACACCATACTATCAATCGCTTCGTCATAGCAACCATGATATTCTGAGACTCAGATAGCGCTGATGCAAGACCAAAACATGTATGGAATTGCTAATTGATTGATGGCGATCTGTGGAATGTGCTGATGCAAGACTGAGGTCTGTGGAAGGACATAATGGTTCCGGGGCCTCAATTTGGGAACTCAGTGGGTACATGAAGTTAGAGGTGCAATCAGGAATGAATGTAAATCAGAGGATGTTTGGGCGCCTCTCGTTGTGTGCTCAGGGGAAGACGACAAATGAGGCTGTATAGGGGGATATGGGATGGGCATGCATTGAAGTAATGGAAGCTCAGAGCAAAAGGAGATTTCAAGAAAGGCTTAGAAAAACTAAGCAGAGTAGATGGGCAGAGAATGCGTTTAGGTATTTCTATAGAAAGAACATGGACAAAAAGTGGAGAAAAAGAACTAGGAGGCTCACCAGTAAATATACGGGTAGCAGTGTGGGTGATATGGCAACAAGGAGCATCAAGCAAAACATCAGAGAGGCGTAGAGGAAAAGTGATGGAAAAGTAGCTGGCTCTCAGTAACTACCGAAAGGGCAAAAATAAAATAAGGGGAGAGATATTTATGAAAATTCTAAGAGAAAGCTTTCTGTTTGTAGCGAGGTCAGGTTTGCCTTAAAATGCGTAGTTTAAAGTGAGATTCAATGGAACACGTTCTGATTGGAATCAGAACATGTTCTGTTCTGATTGAATGTGGCAATATCAACCCAGGTATACCTCTAGGTGCGAGCCTACATGAGAGCTTTGGTTTTGGGGACAACGTTAGAAAGCTGAACACGTATGCAATAGAAGCAAGCAAGAGATAGTTATAGTATTTGGTGGCAAAAAAGTAGAGGTAAAGGAAACAGTGGGGAAAATTAGGTAATTCTGCCTGAAGAGGCAAAGAGATAGAGTGAGAATTTATATTTTTTTGTTACAAGATCAATTTATTCAAAGTAGATAAGGCATAAGGCTAACGTAAAAAAGTTTTTCTTCTGTTTTTTTTTTCTCTTTCGAGCTGGGTGACACACGTGTTACCACCCGGTTATGAAGGGGGTGCTCATAACATCGATTCATTCAGCTGGATACACATTTGCATCTGTGCTGTTCACAAATGATTATGACAGTTGTTGATTCTCTGCTTTCAGTGCACTACGAAGCTTTGTAGTATGCAACTGCTAAATCAATCTGGGAAGAGTACTTTGCGCCATGGCGTTTGACAATAGTTCTTGGATGTGCAGGAGTGGAAATGTGTTGCGGAGATAATCAGAAAATATTCGTGGCAACAGTGCACATTTTTTTAGTGAAGCTAATAAACTATGTAGTGGCTGAAATGGCTGCTTTGACAGCAAGCTGCTCATGCTCACATTAATCCTATTTGTACTCTAGTCCTTAAATATACTGGCTCATTCTCATAGCACATGTGTGTTCAATGCAGGGTGCTCCTGCGAGCGAAAGCCGCAGCCCTTTTCAGACAGTGGCACCGCAAGTAAAGGCTGAAGCATCAGCAACTAGCTCCGTGCCACAGCCGCACCAGCATGTTGCCACTGGGACTTCCTCAACACAACGTGCAGGTGCAGAATTCCAAGTTACCACTGCTGTAGATTCCATGGATGGTGGGCTACCAGCCTCAGCACTCAATGGTGGCATTCAGCGGAGTCCTGCTACTAATCTGGCTAGGCAAGACACATTGAACCGTAAGAAATGCATTTCTGTCTTTCAGTCAAACCTTTTATTTCCAAGTTGGAAGCCCCAAGTGGCTTGACATGCGCTCATTGGGAGCGAAATACAGCAGATGGAAAACTTTGTTCTGAAAACTTGCAAAACCTCGCTAAGCACAGGCTTACAAGATGAGGACAGAAATTTCTTAAATGCGAAGCATCTTTTGCTCGCGTCTATATCTTGCTCGGGCCTATAAACTAGCACGGCCTATTACTGTCACGAAAACTAGTGTTAAGGAAGGAATTTGGCATGGCTCCCAGGTTGGTTTCTCGCATATGCTCATAGTTATATTTATGGTGCTGATACCCCCTGTAGAATGTTATGTTTTCTTTCTTCTCGTGATTCAAAGTGTCTTATGCTCATTAACTTTGAGTCACAGCTGACGAGGAACTGTCCTATGAGATTGATGATTCCACTTGGAATCACTTTACCTAAAAAGATTAAACAATAGGCGTGTTGAGAACAAGAAATGAAAAATATAATTTGTCGGCCTGAAGAAACCTCCTCATAATGTGCGGGGAAGCAGTGTAACAGCTTTTCAGAAGTTGTGTGGTGCTGCTGAGCTGCATACGTATTCGTTGCGTACTGTTGTGCGCTTACTCTATAGCCAATCCTAGTAGACATGTCTTGCAAAACATCTAACCACATGATATCGTTCTTTCCTTTGTGCACTCAAAGTGAAGAAAGGCACTAAGGCGGTCTATCATTGTGAATTTCCTGAAAATGTTTTGAAATGAGCAGTGGTAGCTGCGTTTTCGAAAGCCGAGTTTGAAACGTTCCTCAACTTCACTTGAGTTCAATAAGAAAGCAGGGAGCGGTACTTAGAATTGTCGGCGAAAACACAATGGTTGTCGAGGGAAAAGTCTTGAGACTGCAGCACCGCATCTGTTCTGTATGATGCTTTCTTGGGCAAGCATGCAACACCATGATGTGGAGTTCAATGGGAGACGTTAATTTAACCACTTTATCGAGTGATCTCTATGCAATGAGCTTGAAAGGAGGTCCCTGAAGCGAGAAGACTGGGACAGGGCTGACTAAAATTTTTTGGACATGTAGTTAGCGCCGAAGGAGTCCGGCTCGATCCAGACAAGTTTGCCGCTGTTGCCGAATTACCAGCTCCTGTCGATGAGAAAGCCGTCCGGCGCTTCCTTGGTTTGTGCGCCTACTATCGCCGGTTCATTCATGGCTTTTCCCAGATAGCAGAACCTCTGACTCGTCTCACAAGGGACGACACGCCGTTTGTCTGGGAAAACGAGCAACAAGCAGCTTTTGATGAACTGCGACAGCGCATGCAATCAGCGCCTGTTCTCGCTCATTTCGACGATGATGCTGACACGGAGGTCCATACTGATGCTAGTAACATTGAGCTAGGTGCAGTGCTCGTTCAGCGTCAAGAGGACATCGAAAGAGTGATAGCCTATGCCAGCCGCTCTCTATCCTGTGCTGAGGCGAATTATTCCACTATGGAGAAAGAGTGCCTCGCAGTCGTGTGGGCAATCACCAAGTTTCGACCGTATCTTTATGGTCATCCCTTCAAGGTAGTGACAGACCGCCATGCCCTCTGTTGGTTGGCAAGCCTGCGCGACCCTTCAGAACGGCTAGCACGGTGGAGCTTGCGGCTGCAGGAATTTGACGTCACTATTGTCCATAAGTCCCGCCGCAAGCATGAAGACACTGACACACTGTCACGCGCATTCCTTCATGTCGTCAGTCAGAAAGCAGAGGAAGACGAAGGCTTCCTGGGCTCCATTAGCTCATCAGACTTGAGCAAACGGCAGCGGATGTCGCAGAGATTCGTCTGATCATCGATCATTTAGAGGGCCAGGGCACAATCACGTCATTTATTCCGCTCGTTGCCGTCGTTCTGCCTTCGAGACGGTGTGCTGTACAAGAAGAACGCTCGTTCGAACAACCGGGCCTACCTCCTGGTGGTTCCTCGAGACATGCGAGACGTCCTTATCGCTTGCCATGGCGAACCCACATCCGGTCATCTGGGCTACTCACGGACACTTGCCAGAGTGAGCGAGAGGTACTATTGGCCAGGATTTTCGGCAAGCGTCAAGAAGTACGTCAAGAGCTGTCGGGAATGTCAGCGCCGAAAGCAACCATCTGTTAAGCCAGCTGGTTTGCTGCAGCCCATTGAAGCACCTTGCACGCCATTCGACCAAGTCTGCATGGACATTCTCGGGCCATTTCCCCTGCCTGCGGACAGCAACAAATGGGTGATCGTCGCGACCGACTATTTCACACGCTACGCTGAGACACAGACGGTCCCACGAGCCAGGGCTTCTGAGGTAGCACAATTTTTCATGCGCCACGTCGTGTTACGACATGGTGCTCCTTCTAGTATAATAACCGACAGAGAGACGGTATTCACGGCGCAGCTTACGGACGAAGTTTTCAAACTGAGCAACACCAGACAACGAAGGACAACTGTATACCACCCGCAAACCAACGGACTCATCGAGCGACTGAATAAGGCCCTCGCAGACATGATCTCAATGTACATCGGCATACAGCACAAAACATGGGACCGGGTCTTACCTTACGTGACCTTCACGTATAATACCGCCACGCAAGAGACCACGCGATTCACGCCGTTTCGTCTTCTCTACGGCCGCGAAGTGCAGACCATGCTGGACTCTATGCTACCGTGTCAAGACAGACGAGTTGGCAACTGATGCCTATGAATTCGCAGAGCGTGCTGAGGAAGCCCGGCAGATCGCGCTACTACACATCGGCCAGCTACAGCAGGCAGACGCAGGACGCTATAACATCCGCCACAGAGAAGTGTTTTACAACCCTGGAGACCAAGTTTGGGTATGGACACCCGTCCGCTGCCGTGGCCTTAGTGAAAAGTTACTGAGCTGGTACTCTGGCCCATATAAAGTGTTACGCCGCGTCAGTGACATGAACTACGAAGCGGTTCCGGACTCAACATCGCAGGCACGGAGCAGGACACGACCGAGGCCGGACGTCGTTCATGTGTTGCCCATGAAACCCTTTATTGCACACTGTTCGTAAGTTTTTCCTTGCCGTACACTGTTCTTTGTGTTATTTATTTATTTTTGTGAACTTGCTTCTTCGTTCACTGATTTTTCCTATATTGGCACGCTCGTTAATTTCTACATTTACTTTATCCGAATTTCCATTTTCTTTTTTTTTCACGTGCCTATTTAGGAACATCGGGGTGGTGCTATGTACTTTTCTTTCCCTCTTTTGGGACTTTTTTTTTCTTTTCGAAAAGGGGGATAATGCCACCCACACGTAGTGGGTCGACTGCAAGAGCGGCTCTACCATCTGGAGGATTAAAAGAAGATCGCGTGCCTCTTCTCGACTCGAGAGCCAGCCACGACTGACACATCGTCCCAGCGCTAGCTATTCAGTGGTTTAATAAACCCCCAGTACTTGTGATTCATCGTGACAATACGATGATGCTGGGTTTGTCGGCTTAAAGGTTAGGCTGAGGCTTCATGTGCACTTGAATGTATGGTGTGTGCATCTACAAGATCAGCGAGATCATGAGCTCGGACGTGTACTTCTCAAGGGGAATCATTCGAGTTTGCAGGAGGCGTCATGACAGGACAGGGTGGAGGATTCGTCTCGTGTGAGAACTGGTCTTTCTTGCTGCTCTGTCCTGATGTCTCATAGTGCTCGAAATCGTCAATTACTTTTCCAGAGGTTTGGTGTGTGTGCTTGCTTTCTTGGAACTATACTTCGAACTGTGCATCTGCCAGTGTTCTTTGTGCTTGGGCTCCTTGCGCTGTTTGTTGCGGTTGGAAGAGCCCAATGTTGTGTCACTCTTTTCGGGCTTCGAGTAGTCTCACAGTTTGAAAAATGAGACTTGGAAGTGGACTGCAAGGCATTGGGTGACGGTGTTGACCACTTTTCTTTGTGCAGTCTTTATGTACCTTAGGGGGCACATTGGCAGGGGTCGCCTTTGACATTTGTGCGCAAGATGAAAAGGAGCAAGTTGAGGGAAGAACTTCTGTGGCATGTATGTAGGCAATTGTTCTATGGAAGACACCACTGTGACAAGGACTTCAAGTGACGGGTGCTCAGCGGCAGGCGTTGGCTGTGGCACTGTCAGTATTGCGCAACAGTTTGACAGCACTGGAGCACATTTGCTAGGCTGCGCAACAGTGATTCCGTTGAGTTGCTCTCTGCAGACCTTTTAGGGCTGCAATGTCTTTGGGATGGTGACGCACACGTGGCAGGTCACCTCTGCATTCTGGGAGTCACTGGTGGAAGATCAGCTAATGGCACTGTCTGTGCGAACGCTTTGTTTTCTTGTGCACTTTTCATGTCGCCCTTAGAGTGGTCATCAGCTACAGTGTCCGTTTTGTCGTTATTCTCAGGCAGCGAATAGTCAGTGGCAAGGTCCGTGCCGTACGTTTCGCTAAGATGCTGTCCAAGCAAATTTCGGTAACTGTGCTGTGAGGGATTGCTCGTGCACAAAGGTTTGAAAAGGGGTAGCATTTCTGGGATAGGAGCGTTCTGGAGCGGCGATGAACTTGGCATCTCTGAAGGCCATGGGCGGGAAGAGCTTGTCTGAAATGGGCTTATGGAACATTATGTTTGGAGATGAACTAGGGCAATTTTGTTGAGCTGGCTCCACAGGAGTTTGTTCTCGTCAAGCTCATACTCGACTTGAAGAGGCTCTGCGACCGCAAGGGGTGAAAACTTGGCAATGCAGATGTCGTCAAAATTACTGCATATGACATCTTTGCCAACAGTTCTTCTTTGCACTGCACAACAATGTTAGATGGCTGGCAGATGACAGGTAACTTGGAAGGTTCGAAGTGGAGTTTGGCTTGAGCTGCGTAAGACCAATCTTCACCTAAAATAAAGAGAAGGGCATTCTGTTCAACGATGGCTGCTTTGACAATTGCAGGTGGTCCAATGGTAATTTTTAAAAAGGCAGATCCTTCAGGCACAATAGAGTTTTCGTCAACAACAAGCAAAGGTGGTTTAG